TTTCATGTAATATTTAATGGCTCAATTTTTATACTCAGCTATTAGGTGAAACAAGTAGCGCTTCCCCTATCCCATTTTCACACTGTTGTCAGAATCACCTGGAGTTCGGTAGAAAAATGATGGTAAGCTCTAAGTTGTGAAATTTGTCAGAACACTGCAAACTTCAGTCTGCAGACAACGCCTGTTTTCCTCAGATGCAGCCAAAACTGTTTGGAGGCCAACACCACTTGGCTTGTCACGTTTTGATTCAGCATCACACATTTGTGGCCAGAGGCTGTGAGGTGTGTGACGATAAGGTAGGTAGGTAGGACTTTATTGATCCCACAATGGAGAAATTCCTGTGTTCCAGCAGCAATAGAGAGCAGCAACAAAACACCATAAGAACAAACACCACACACATATCTTGAGAAACAAATTCCAAAGTACCTAAAACCAAACAATATAGTATATGAGAGACACCCAAGAAGAAGAATGATCCTCCGATAAAAGACGGTTACAAAAATAAAGCTTTACTTTCTTCTACCAGTGACTTATTGTCAGTGCATGTCAAGATGCGTTATGAGTTGTGTGTGTGTGTGTGTGTGTGTGTGTGTGTGTGTGTGTGTGTGTGTGTGTGTGTGATTTGCTGGTAATCTGTTCGTTGTGGCAAAAGGCACCAATGCAGAAATGATTTCTTGACATGATGCTCAGAATACAACCCTAGAAATTACACTTGTATTCAAATAAACTGTAGCAGAAAATATGTTTGTAGGAAACATAATTGCCTCAAAGACCTGCAGCACCAGTCCCTTCTGTGGTTAGGCTTTGGCAACAAAAGCGCTTTGGTTAAAGTTTTGCAGTTGTTTATTAACATGAACTCTAGAAGAAAGGGTTGCAGAATTACCTGCTTTAATATTGTGTAATTTGATAACATGCACATACAGTATATACACTGGGATTGAAACTTGAAGCCAATTAAACATAGTCATTAAAATGAGATTAATCACTGTCAACGCAAATCACTGATGTGTTTGTTTACAGATGGAGCATCGTTTACTGTATGGCGATGTGCAGGCTTAGGAGACTGTGATCATCCGCTATGTGGTTATACTGTAAATCAGCTCTGAGTTCAGTGTAGCTGTGGATCACGGTGTTACCATAGAGCTGCTTAGTAACACAAATTAATTACAGTCAGGAAGTAGGCCATCTCTCTGTGTGTTTCTCATTGACTTTCTCTCACTTTCCCCTTCTTGTGTGTGTGTGTGTGTGTGTGTGTGTGTGTGTGTAGGTGTGTTTCTGTGATGGGAAAATTTGCAAGGAGATTAAGGTCCTCACTACTTCAGAGGGCTGTTACGGGGTGAACAAGTGGACACTCTCACTCTGTTGAATCACAGCCGTAGAGTCTCTGTCACTGTGTACAGGAACAACATTTGTACTCGCATCTGTATTTGTGCAATTCATGAAGCAGCTGGGGAGAGATCAGCTGTCCGTCCCTCCAATGTGCACACACACTGACACATCCACATCTCTCAGCAGTGGCAGGTGCTTGTTTTGTGGTTGGGGCCGGCCGTGCCCAACTGACTGACTCCACATACTCACCAGGGGGATGAGCCCACAGATGTTTTGGATTTGGCCACTGACCAAAATAAACTGACTTCTTCTTTTTACTACTCTTCTTTTGGTGACTTGATTAACCTTTCTCAACCAAACAAACACACACTATGTTCTGTTACATTAAAGATGGCACCTTTTACAGTTGTACTGTAGTGTAGCTCATGGTAAATAATTATTAAAGTTTCGACATGTAGCATTTTAAACCCGAGCCTATCATTATCATGCTCACTCTGTGATGTCCTGTAGGTTCCCTGTGAACCAGAAGGCACAAGTTGCAAACATTCTCGTTGCCTCTGTCTCAGCAGACCACATTTCCCATAAGCCCCGGCCTTCATCCATATGAAGAAGATAAACATGAGAGAAGTCATTTTTGCATCAGACTTTCATTCCTTTTCCAGTCTAATGCTCTCAAAAAGTTGGCTGTGTTTGCCTTTGTCTTTCTGTTTTGTGCTGCCAAGTGGGTTTTGTTTTTTTTACCATAATATGTTTTGGTGAGTTTGCTCTGGCACATCTGTCTCCTCGAAATTACATGTACAGTACAGACAACCAGTAGTAGTATGTTGTCAGTCAAATGTCTTGGAAGAAAATATGATCAAGTTTCTTTATTAAACAAACTTGGACACACTGACACTGGGAAACAGGACAGTGGATTCTGACTTGGAGACTGGTTAAATATTGCACTGTATGTTACTCTTTAGGAATGCCACTGACAGTAAGTGCCTAAACTTTAATGTGGTACTCATTTCTATTTATTTGGACTGTCTGGAATGTGCCACCCTTGATATTTTAAATGTCCATGTAACAGATTCAGGTTTAGGGCTAATAGGTTCTTGATATTTTAAATGTCCATGTAACAGGTTTAGGGCTAATAGGTGTTTCCATTTCACATATTTACCTCATGCTTCTATTGGCTTATACATTTAAGGCATTTGTTTGAAGCTCTGACACAGAATAAGCACATCACAAACCAGAAATAGCAATGAGTAGGGTCAAAGTCATTGTAACCTTTGTTCCAAAACATTTTTAATACATTGGGAAGGAAGAAGAGGTGGAGAGAGGATGTGATTCACTGAGAACGTGTGGCGTGACTATTCCTGAAAATATTAGTTTTCACCTAACTGCATAAGGTTTTATGACACTGAGTGAACAGGTTGAGCCTTTCTTGGTTCAAGGGAACAGCACCAGGACATGTAGTCTGGACCATGAAAATACAAGTTGATCATGCTATAAAGTGCTTCTTAAATTCAATAGCACGTGAGAGAGAGTCGAGTAGGTTTCCACATCAGCTCAGCTGTTCAAATAAAGGCAGTCAAAATGTTGTGCAAAATAGGTTGTTTGTGAATGTGAACTCGGCAGCACCATGCCGGGCCAGGTCAGCCTCACTGTGTGAAAATGGCCTCGTAGCGCTCTGAATCGTCTTCCCAGGCAGGGCCAGGGAAAAGCAGCAGGTCCTCTTATTGTGGGTAAGAGTGAGACTTCCGGCATAACCAGTGGGTGACATGTAAGATGAAATTCTGCTCAATTATTTTACAGTGTAAAAAACTCACCAGCATATTTATCAAACACACATCTCCCTGCATTTGATCCTGTGTTTGCCCCCTGTTCATACTTGATGACAGATTTGCTCCTGTGGTGCACTGAGGTGATGGCTCACTCAAGTCTGCCTCTACCCTAGATATTCAACCAGGCTGAGTAGTACTCAGCCTGGTTGAAAAGAGTTGTATAACAAGTGCTGTGGATGAGAAGAAATACACGGTGGGAATATTTATTGACCTAAAAAAAGCATTTGACACAATCAATCATGAATTATTAATGGACAAGTTAGAAAAATATGGGATCAGAGGAATGGTTCTGAAATGGATTAGAAGTTATTTGACACAGAGGCGTCAATTTGTGAAGTTGGGTGAATACCAATCGAGTGAGCTGGACATTGTATGTGGAGTGCCTCAGGGTTCTGTTTTGGGACCTAAATTATTTATACTATACATCAATGATATATGTAAGGTTTCTGATTTAGTGAAAGTGGTTTTATTTGCTGATGACACTACCATATGGGCATCGGGTGAAAACCTACAGCAACTCTCTGGACGGGTTACACAGGAACTTGAGAAGATAAAGAAATGGTGTGATAATAATATTCTATCTCTGAATTTGGATAAAACTAAATGTATGGTATTTGGGAATCGTAGACTAGATAATAAACTTCAATTGAAAATTGGGGGAGCTAATATAGAACGAGTACATGAAATTAAATTTCTAGGTGTCATACTTGATGACAAATTCTCCTGGAAATCTCATATCAGATATGTTCAGAACAAAATAGCAAAAAATATATCGATATTGGCAAGGGTTAGATATATTTTGGACGGGAAAGCACTACGCATTTTGTATTCCTCATTGATT